CATAGTATTTCTGAAGAGGGTGAAAAAATCAAATGTAAATTGAAAAATATACAGTGCGGTCCATATGTATGAAATAAATTCATTTTTACCGTTTGTTCAGTCAAACTGTTACTTAGACAATTTTTTTGTGCGACGCCTCTGGAAGGCCTGATGCATAGACATTTTCACCACGCCGCGCTGTGTGCCGGGAAGTCTGCGCACTTCACCGAAAAGACAACATGCGGCGGCAGTACTGATGCGAAACTCATTGCATAAACATCATTAAACTCTTACTTGTTACTCTGTTCACGTTTTAGTTGTTGTGAAATACATATCATAAGTGAAGTGGTATTTTTATAAAGTTTAGTTAAACCGATTCGCAGAATAAGTTCTTTGTTCCTCAAGTAATTGGTTCACAACACTTGCTTGATTACAAAGTCATCATAGTTCATTTTCACTCAAAATTGTCCAGAATTTTAATTAAAAAAAATCATAACCTAAAATTGTGGTGTCAGTTGATATGATTTATAATTGGTAGATGGTTATTTCGTATTTTCCATCAAACTTTTTTTATAAACAGATGCGATGTTATTTCATGTAGTATTTCATTCTGTTTTTGATTTCATCTTACTTTTTTATAAACCCGCCTTTAATCGTCTGTGAGTCGTACTACGTACTTACTACCTAACCTATAATTCATTAATGTCATTCGATTCCACTACCTAGACAAGTTCTGATGAAAGTAAAAAATACAAAAACACTGTACAAAGTAACATAACATTCCTATAACTCGTCACTTACCTTTGAATGTGTCGATGAGATCAGAAAATCCCCATTCCGTCAAAGCTTGCTCCATTATTATAGCACTAGGTATGTCCTATCTTCAAAAATTTCAGTAATGCACTAATAGGTATGGAGGATTCTCCAAACCGAAACTACTGAACCGAATGAGTGATTGAACAAAATCATGGACGATAAAAACATACACCTAGCCTGAAAGTCGGATTCAAAGAAATCTCCACGTTGATTTTTATTGTGCCGACACATTCAAGTCCGTGCACGATGAAAGTTATAAAGTAGTGAACAATGCGCAAACGCAGTGGATAAGCAAGCAGGTCTTTTACCATTCTAGATGTTCATTTTTACAAATACAAATGCTATGAATACGTAAAGTGAATGCTGAAGCAGATTTCAAAATATTTTTGAATCGCAGATTACAATCCATCATTTCTAATAATAAGATATGAATATCTATGAAACATTTTGGATTCAGTTTGTTGAAGAAATGAATGCAATATTTTAATGGTGAAGAGAACACATATATGTTACAATATTGATTTTTACTCATTAAGAGTCGTTATTGAGGATACAAGTATTATTTCATTTACAAGTTGAACTATAAATTACTGAAAAATTATGTCTCTAAACTTACTATATTTTATTGAAAATACTAGATGTTCTATGGATTTTTCTCCGTGCAGCTTTGAAAAATGTGGAAAAAGCCAAATTGCACGAAAGAGATTGAAATTCTTCTTCTGCAGCTTGAATTCGCAAGGCAATTTTAGCAATAGCTAAATCGTACGTAACATTGTAGTATTTTTTTCCACACTCCGAAGCAATTGCTAAGCTTCTTCGCATCGTTTCCTTAATTACTGCAGGATCTGTTGGAGAATCATTAATTTGAATTAGATACTCTATTTTCTGAACTCTACTATTATCTTCAAATATTTTAGCATTAAACCCCGTCCACATTGGAGTATTTTCTATTTGTAATTTATGAGAGAGTATCCATGAAAAATATAGCCGATCTATTTTTGCGATAATGCCAGAATTAACTGAAATGATAATGAAATCTTCAGTACTTTCACCAACAGAAGTATTATCAGCTAATCAAGGACATGCTTGTTTAGCACTTGCCAAAATGTCAAGATCGTGAGGCTCATATGATCTTCTTTTACGTCCATACTTATCTCTAACATTTAAAGACATAACTTCTTGATCTTCTGATTCGTTGATATTTAAAGCGTGTAATTCATGCGTGAGAGGAATATCTTGAAATATTATTCCCATGGTATTGTGTAAAGTATATTTCCCTGAAGACGTCTCAACAAAGCGATCAAAGTTATTTCATGCTACACTGCTACATAACGATGAAGTCGGCAGAATTCCAGAAGGACAGTATTGCTTTTTTGCTGGACACGAATATGCTGCAGCACTCTCAAGTTCTAATATATTCGTATAACTGATACAGTAAGCTTGTCGATTAAGAATATCAATGACAGTCTTACTACCTGTTATACTTTTCATCGCCAGTTCCAATAGTATATGCTTTGACGGTTTGATTCTTCCTTGATGAATACTAAAAATTGAGTCCTGAGAAAAAGTCGATGCCACACGCTCAAGCCGATCACTTTGGCGATATTTCATCCTAGCACCACCTAATGCTGTTTTCCAAAAACCTGTCAACCATTTCGGAATATCACATTCCCCATTACTGAAAGTATCGCTGTCGACATAATCTGGTAAGTTCCTCTTTTGAATTTGTAATATTCGAGATCTATATTTTAAAGCAAATAATGTTGCTTCTTGTGAGAAAATAATTTCTTGAATTTCCTCATCATTCACAGATTCAATATCGATACTGGCAAACATTATATAAGGATGATTGGATATCGTTACCAACATGATTTTATTTTTCAATTTCTTTACAATGTGCTTGATGCAAGTCGTATAAGTCTTTTGAAAATTCTACATAGAATTTTTCGACTACTTTCATTGATAACACTTTCAAATTTAAAATGACTTCCTCATTAATGTACTGCAGCAGTTGATCGCGTGCTATTTTATTAACACGTTCAATGCTGATGACGCACACGTTGCGTTCTTGCGGTCAATTGCGTAGCGCTCATGACGCAACTGTTGCGTTCTGTACTCAGTTGAGTTTTAACCTTCACTGCGTAATCATCGACGCAATAACTCGGTGTTTCGTGTGATATACGTTTTCGTTAATACTAGTAGAGTGTTATTTTATGTTTTATGAACTCAAACGTTATTATGGATCCAAACCACCCCAGTACTTCTGGCTCACAGGAATTCGGCCTATCGCAAAGTAAAAGGCCTCGAAAAGCCACAAAAACGGCATGGAAAAGATATTTGACCGAGGATGAGTTGGAACGACTTTTATACGATTCGGATGAGGATTTTGACGAGTCGGCATTGCTCGCAGGGAGTGAGAGCGAGAACGTTTATTCAGACACGGATGATCGCGATGTGGCCGAAGAAGCTTCGGAGGATGAGCCGGTCGAAATTCCTGCAATCGAGCCGTCTACAATTCAGTGGAAGGAACAAGCAGAATTGTCTGTTTTTGGGTTCGATGGAACAAATAAATTTTTGGTGCCATTTCCAGGTAAACATAGTTCTAATTTTGTTAGGATCATTTTATATACCTTTTTATCAGTTTTAAAACATGATTTCGCATAAGTTTCTGAAGGCTGTTCTGTTCAGATACAGACAGAGCGGTACCTTTTCTTCGTTTTTATATATTCGCAAAATCAGTACATATTTTTAATTTCTTTTCAGGAAAGGAACCCACGGATATTTTCAATTTTCTGATGGATGATGAATTCTACCAGCTCATCATATCTG